TCTCGTACGCATCAAAACCATTTTGTTTGCATTGTCTTACTCTTAGATCGATCTAAAATTATTTTATATTATAAGAAAATGAAATAAAAAATCACATTTGAAGAAAGAACTAAAATCCAATATTAAGATATTATTTTTTAAATTTTATTGTATTAACGATTTAACTACTAAATATAAAATACAAGAATTTTAATATTATTATTTTAGTCATTATTTATTAAAATATTTTTATAATTTATCTAAATATGTAATTAATTTCAAGCACAGTTAAAACTAATTATTATTTTGTTAACAATTATTTAATATTTTTGTAGTGATTAAATGATAACTTATGTTCTATAGTTTGATCCCTTCCAATCTCAAATTATATTTTCCTTTAAAATTTTGTGTCAATCGCAGTTTTAACTAAATAATATTTTTTGACAATCATGTAATAATTACACTACTTGGTGTAGTGATTAAGTGTTGGTTTTTACATATTTATCATGTACATATGCGGATCAACATGTAGTTTAAGGTGGGCACTTATTTACTTTGGACTTCGAATTTATTTTACTGAGTACCCATTTTATTTATTTGTGTCCTAAAAAAAATCTCCATTATATGTATTACTTTTTTCTGAATTTAAAAAAATTATGTTATTAATATATAAACAAACACTTTCAGATATATTTTTAGATCTGTCACTGATTATGTTTGATTCTTTACAAGTTCATTTCATAATTTTCTTAACTTTCACTAATAATATAATGATATATGTCACAATATTATTAGAGGGTTAAATATAATGAAATGTTTATAATTAAAATAAAGACTAAACTAATAGAAATTTTAAATGTTAAAAATTTATTAAATTAAAACTAAATTGATAAAATGTATAAATTATAAGGATTAAAACTATTATTATATCACATCACATCACATCACCGTTTGTATTAATTGTTGAACTTAGAGTGATCAAAATTGAAAGAATATAACAATAATGATGATTTTGTTAATGGGCAACTGGGTGCAATGGATGCAAGAACCATTCACAATGCAAGGTTTTCTATCCCCCATATATACATAAAGCTTATGAGATATTATGGAATTCGGATTTCATCAATTTAACCAAAGAATCGTATGCTTAATTGGTTTAATAATCAGTCTATTTTTTTAAATATTTTTTAAGTAATTTATCATTTCAATTATTTTATATCATATCTCACATGAAAATTTCGAATTCTTAAAGTGTATGTTAGACACTCAAGAAAATTGATGAAAAAGATTGGATTGATATGATATGAACACTTCAGAACTTAATTATAATATTTTAAAATTTAGAGATTAATTTAAAACTTGTATCAGAATTTTAGGTGTTATACCATTGTTTTACTGGAAAGTATATTATAGAGACTGCCATTCATGCCCACGAGCGCTTTAAAAAGCTTTAAAACGGCGAGGTTTTAAAAGAATTCAAAATCCAATCCGTTGCAACACGGCAGCGGCGGACAGTTACCCATCAAATGAAAAATAGAAGAGGCGGCGCGGCAAAACGTCAATTATGGTCTCAGAATTGGATCATAAAACCGCACATGTGTTTGTTCAAAGCTCAGTTTCGAATATTTTGCAGAACCTTCATTCCAACCGCTCTTTTTTTTTCTCCTTTTAACAACAGTCCCCGTTCCTTTTCCTTTCCCATCTGTCTGAAAGAAAAGGAAACCCCAAATTACTTTCTCCTTTTGTTTGTTATATTTGTTTTGGGTTTTGGGGTTTTTTTTTGTATTGTTGCAAGAGAATTTGTGTTGTCTTTTTGAAGAATATAAAATTTTAGGGGAAGTAAATAATGGAATTGGAGATGATGGGTTTGGTGTAAAGAGATGAGGGGATCGTTAGACAAGGTATTTGAGGTTATGAATTGTAAATGCGATTCATTGCCTCGAACGTCATTGTTGCCGTGATCGAATGCCGATTCCGTTCTCGGCCGGCATTCGATTCCTTCTCCTTAGCCTCTGAAACAGTCTCCGAACACCACTGGCATCAACAGCAGCAACAACAACGTTATCGTTACCTTCCCATCTTGGTTCTTTAACAGCTAACTCTTTCACTGCTAATTTCCAATCTCTTTCCCTTCCTTTGCACATATTTTTCAAGGGGAAAAAAAGAGGGTTTTTAAAAAAAATTGAGGAGAAAAAAGCAGGAATGAATTTTGGGTTAGGTTTGGAAATGCCAGCCAATGATGGAATGCATTATACTTCTGAAGCAGAACCCGGTGTGGTAGAAAGAGATCCTACGGGTCGTTACATTCGGGTATGAATCTATTTACAAATAACCAATGGAATGTGGAGAAAACTTTTCATATTTTAACCTAACTTTGTTCCTTTTTATGTTGCAGTTTGATGAAGTCTTGAGCAAGGGTGCATTTAAGACAGTGTATGGTTCTTAATCTCCTCTGGTCTTAACAACATGATGTATATACTGTTTCAATGATTGTTTAGTGGTTACCATTAGGCTTTTGTTTGCAATGCCTGCAGTTATAGGGCCTTTGATGAAGTTGATATCCTGAGATCATTGAAGAATGAAAACATTATCAAGTTATACAATTCATGGGTGGATTACAAGAAGAAAATTGTTAACATGATCACTGAGCTATTCACATTCGGGAGTCTCAGGGTGAATGCACACTCCTTGGTCGTTTTAATTCCGATTCTTTCTGGTTAAGTCTAGTTCTGTATCAAGTAATTTTGTAGTTTTGATATCAGATATCAGAAGAAGCATAAATATGTCGGTACGAAGGTGATAAAGAACTGGGCGAGGCAGATTCTTTGGGAGCTAGTATATCTTCATAGTCATGTCCCCCCTATTATTCATAGGGATTTGAAGTGTGACAATATTTTTGTTAACAATGGAGAAATCAAAATTGGTGATCTTGGATTGGCAATTGTCATGCAGCAGCCAACTGCTCGGAGTGTTATTGGTAAAAGAATAGTCATTGTCAAAATGCTGCATTAGATTTAACTAAGTTAATGATGACCATTTTTTTTTTCATTTCTCTGTTCATTAGGTACCCCTGAATTTATGGCTTCAGAGCTCTATGAAGAGGAATAAAATGAACTGATAGATGTATACTCTTTCGGAATGTGTATTTTAGAGATGGTTACTTTTGAGTATCCATATAATGAATGCAAAAATCCAGCACAGATCTATAAGAAAGTTATATCCTTACGTACCTCATGCAACTGGTTTTATCTTTGTCTTTGTTTTTGCTAACTTCTGTAACATATGTTGGTGAATTGCATACAGGGTGTTAAACCTGCTTCCGTGAGTAAGGTTGCCGAACCACAAATAAAGGAACTCATCGAGAAATGTCTGGTTCGAGCATCTGAGAGATTGTCTGCGGATCCATTTCTTAAAGTAGAGAGTCCAAAAGAACCACTCCGACTTCCCCTCCTACTGCCAAACCCAATTTCAAAAGCTGTTAGCCTACCTGCACCAGGACCTTCGTCAATGGACATAGATACTGACTATAAGCAGTTTTCCATAAGCACATGTGCTGGAAGCAATAGCGAGAGTCCTCTGAGTCTGATTTTAGAGTTGCAGAGGATGCATAATAACAGCATATTCCGGTTGAAGGGGAAAAAGGAAAATGATAGCTCAGTTTCATTGCCTTTCTGATTGCCGATTCTTGCGGTAAAGTGCTTGTAGTACCTTTAAATATTGAACTGATTCCTGATGGCAGTATAGTAAAACAGAGGTTACCTGCTATTTCACAGGTCGAGTCAGAAACATACATTTCCAGTTTTACCTTGATAGTGATACTGAAGATGCAGCTGAGATGATTGAACAACTAGAATTAGCAGACCCTGATGTCGCCTTCATAGCTGAGTTTATTGATTCCTTGATAGCGAAGCTTCTACCTGGTTGGAAGCCCTCTGTTTATCTCTCGAGTGGAAATGCAAGTCCATGTACTAAGTATTCTGTTTCTGGAAACAGCAAACCCTCACCACCCTGTTCATTTCTGGCTAGTGATCCAGCACTGGAGGTTGCCACAGGAGGTGTCTCTTCTCTAAAAACAAGCCTCAACGACTGTGTCATACAAGCCCCAAATGGTTCCAACAATGAGTATCTTTCATTTTTGAAAGATCAAGAATCACAAGCATCGGTCATTTCAGAGATATCGATTGAGGATGCTTCCATTAAGAATGCTAAACCATCTGAGGATACTGACTCAAATATAAATCAAATTGTAAAGATTAGGTGGATACATATCTGAAGACCTCCAGTATACTTATTATGATGAATTCAACAACTCAACAAGAAACGAAAGCAGTACCGACGAGTGCATACCTGTTAACAAATTCATGAAGGATTCAGGGCTCTCTTTCTCAAATTTCAACAGAGAATTGAATTTCACTTACTTGCCTAGTAGTTGCTCATCTCAGTCTATAGCAGACAAAGATCTAGATATTGGATTAAAGCTGGAGCTTGATGCAGTTGACGCACAGTATCAACAATGGTTTCAAGAGCTTTCTAGGAGGAGGGATGAAGAATTAGAGGCTGCCAAAAAGAAATGGATGGCTAAGAAAATTTTGGCTGTTAAGTGATAGAGAATTTAACAGTTGTAGTACTCTCTTCTGTGTTCATTGGTGCGTCTTTTTTCCATCTTTTAAGACTTATGATGTTATCAATTTAAACCTTGCATCGGGAGCGGCTCTTTTTTGGTAGTCATTACCCGGCTCTTTTTGGTAGTCATTATCCTGCTCAACGTATTTGTTCTAAGAACTCAGATGCTGCTTTTCACTAATCGTTCTTTGGAACGGGAATGTGTATATAGATTTTGCAGAACTGCTAACATTGCAGCTAAAGATTTAAACCATGCGACTCGGCATTTCATGCAAAACGGAAAGATTTTGATACTCTAAATATTGATGTCTTGTTGCCAAGACAATTTGGTCAAGTTGCAGTGATTCATGTATAGACTACTTGAATTGACCTTTTTTAGTTCTGGTTCGAATATTTTAACAAATTGACATATTTATTAGCAATTCTATGTACAAAATCCCAGCCAACTATTTTGACAAAGATTCAAGAGTACCATGAACAAAATTAGAAGCGAAAGCAGTGAGAATCTATAGTTTTTCAGTATTCTGTTATGTCTCTAATGCACAAAAGTTCCACCTTCTCTCCACTTCCTATTCTCACTTTGAAATTTGTTATCCAAAAAGTACAACTTAGGAAACTGAAAATTTGAAACTCAAGAGAGTTTTAAAAATCATGTCCCACAAAGTCGGGCCTATAAGAAAAAAGGGGAGATAACATGTACTCAATCCTCACGCCACATCTTCTGGCATTTCAAGCACTGATAGAATGTCATTGCTGGCTCATCAGCTGACCGGACTCAATCCTCACGCCACATCTTCTCGCATTTCAAGCACTGATAGAATGTCGTTGCTGGCTCATCAGCTGACCGGATCTGCACCTGTGAGAAAAGGGCCCTTCCATGGCTACAAGAAGGGCATGTTGCTGCAAGAAAACAGAGAAAAGGTTTAAAAGAGAATGACAAGAAGATAAAGCAACAACAGTAACAAGAAGAAAGACAGTAAGCGTAGTGTCAGATTGTATAGGGCACCATAATCAACTTTCTCAAACAGTAATCAACCGATGGCAGTAGGACCACCTAAACATGAATGTGGCTTCACCTTGCAAATTTCAGCCTAACTCAGAACCGGCAATTTATACATGGATTTCAATCCAAACGAGAAGAGATATAGCTATTTGAGAAAAATATAGCTTCCTATTAGAACTTTGGCAATCTAATTTGTAACGATGAACTACCCTTGAGAACTTTCACTCAGTGGCCTTTCCCTTGAAAGATATAACTTTTTCAAATTTTAGGCTATCTTCTCTCGACAACGTACTTCACCATGATTCCGGCTCTCTTCTTACCACTCATCATGTAGCATCTACCTGACATTAATTATTTCTTTACCATTTCGACGCATTTTTTTAAAACATTAATTCTTCTTTAACATTAAAAAAATATTGCAGTTCATAGACTACCGACGACGACTACTCCAGAACCATTGAGTGAGGACCTCTCATTGTAAGAATCACAATTACAATCAAGTGTTGAATAGATTATCATAACACATCAACAACATAGAACTATATGCCTCAGTTTTAATAGGGCTTCCCCTTTTGGAAACTTAAATGTGGATGTTTTGGCTTAAATTGAGCATAGTCATGTCATTCACATACTCTATCTGATGCCCATAGAATGAAACAAGAAACAAAAAACAAAATTTCCCAATTTATAACCACAAAAAACTCGTATGACAAAACACAATGATCTCCAGAAGAAAAAAAAGGGTTGTGAAGAATAAGAACCGGTTTCAAGGAAAAATACAACTTACCATCAGTTTCAGACCCGCCCACCTTCATATCTTCTTTGTTGAAAACAGGTTCAATTTCTTTCTTAACAAGATGTTGCCTCCTCTTTATTTTAACCTATTGGGGGGGGGTCAGAGAACAAAATCAATCAACAATAAATAAAATCGAAACTTTTCAAAAGAAAAATCAAATAAATTAAAAAATAAAACACCTTGCTTTCAAGGTGACAAACATAGGGACAAGTCCGGCAATAAAACCTGGAAGACCGACCCATATGCGGCAACTCATACTGTAACATGTTCCCACAAGTTGGGCAAAACTCCATTCTTTATTCACGGACGATATTCCTCTGAAAAACCTAATTAGGAAATTGGAAATTTGAGCTTTTAGACGTATATATAGTATGTGCAAGTTGGAGTGTTCCGATTTCTGTGAAGAAACAATTTAAAAGCTACTTAGTGAATCTCATCTTGTGATCTTAACCATTAAAAATGTTAAGATATGAGATTAATTAATCAATAGTTATAAGAAATTAGGGCTTCCCACAGTTACCACACTTGCTTAAACAATTCAAATAGATTGTTTAAAGTAAATGTATTGGTCTTCAAAATATACTGCCCAAAGGCCCAAACTTCAGAAACAACAATCATCACGAGTTTTAAGTTTGGTGATGTGAATTTGACTCCATAAACTATCCAACCCATCTTGACGGTAAATAAACGGGATATATAAAAAATTATTTAAACTCATTTAAATATTCAAATTCAATTTTAAACTTTGCAAGTCGCGTAAAACTTAACAATACTCGAACTTAATTCCTTTACATCCCTAACAATGACTAATACATTAAGAAATCAAGCATATGATTAATATTAAAATTTGTGGAGCTAGCATCTCTGCAGAGGAGAAGCACTTTAACATAAAATAAGTAAGGTGCATTTAGGGATTGGTATCAGCATTTGTGTGGAGAGTTGTACATAAAAGAATTCCAGTCATGGTAGAACTGGAAAAAAAGGGGTCAAGAATCTAGATCAGCTGAGATGTCTTTTTTGTAATCAAAGCCGGCATCGATTAATCATGTTTTATGTACATGTGGGATTGTTTGGAGAGTATGACAACGTTGGTGTAGAGTGTGGAAAGTGAATTTAGTAATCCCTATGAATGTAAAACAACTATTAGAAGTTTGGTTCATGCAAAGAGTCAGGAAAAAATTCCGATTTCTGTGGCAAATCGGTTTCTTTGGATTGATTTGGGTCATCTGGCGATGTAGAAATAAGTTTAGATTCCATGGAAGTGTGTTCTCAGTGAAGCAAATTTTTACTAAAGTTTTAATTCAGGTGGGGGTTTGGGCGAGTTTTCTTTGGCCGGCGTTATTCCCTTATCTGCAAGATTTTGTTAGGTGCCCGGAATCTTTAGTGAGTAGGTGATGCTTATGGACTCGTATGGATTGTATTTCTGGATTGTTATATGTTAAGCGTAGCAATTGCAGAATGGGATTATGATCTGTTTAGCTGTATTGCTATTGGTACGAGTTGTCTTACTCCCTTCTTTGTATGCAAGTCTGTGAAGAGTGTATGGGCAAGGGTACAAATTTTGTGGATACAGGTGAACAATTAAGGGTCTGTAGTTTTTATGTATGTATATGATGTAATGGCTGATTGAGTTTTGTATTGGTTGTTCTACCCCAAGGCTCACTCTTTTTCCTCCAAATAAGTTTAGGGAGGTTTTTTAATGAGGTCTTTGGGGTAGTGTAGTTTGTAATTCTTGATTAATACAAAGTACCCTTTTCAAAAAAAAAATAATGTTTGATGAAGGAGTATAATTTGCATTTGTGCTAAGAATGAAATTAAGATTACCGCTGACATGAATTCCCCACCCACACAACTATCTAAACCAAAAACATTTTATACCTACCGTAACATGTCAACTATTCCTTCACCTGCTTTTCTCTTCCTTCCTCCCATGTCAAATTATGGTCGCTTTGGTTGCCGGCTCAAACTTTTCTCGTGTTCTATTTTTTTAAGAATCAATTGAACCGTTCCAAATATATTAAATGGATTAACGATTTGTGTTTGTAATGGATCCAGGATTACTGATCACTATATAACAACATGTCGCTACTCATTTCCTGTGTCCATTTTATTGTCATTTCTCAGGTAATTAGATTTTAGCCTTTGATCTTTAGTTCTTTTCAAGCCTCTCCGTAGTATGTCAAACCAACAGGCTCCATCTCGTCCATGGTTTCGTTTAGCATCCATAGCATGGCCAACACCCCAAGCACCTATTCCTACCCCTGAACCCACACCAGCTACGCCAAGACCTGCACCCACTGTTGGAATATCTGTTGGAATACCCGTTAAAAAGCTAACGCCAGTTAACACTCAATAATCATATCTTAATTAAATAAAAACGAAACTGAACAAATATTATCTTTTTAGAATTCAATGAAAAAAAATGTATAAAATTTAAACGAAAATTATCGTAGTTATATACAATTATGTAAATTAAATAGTATAACATTAATTAATTCATAACTTAGTCAAGTGGTTATTTAGCCATACTCGAGTTCTTTGGATTTGAATTCGAGACCTACCAAATCCATTTATTTTGTGTGGTAACAGAAAATAAGTTAAATAATAAATTTAGTAAAATTGTTACAAGTACCGTGTCTAGTTCAATTGCTAAGCGGCTGGTTATCTTGCTAGAGGATTAGGGTTTGATTTACGTCTGTATTTTTATTTAAAAAGTAATTGTAAATGATAAAAATAGAAATAAAATATAATATTAATTAAGTTACTAAATAAAAATAAAAATAATAAGTGATTTTTTTTTTAAATGTGACAGTGTGAAATTTTCTATAATAAAATATCTCTAAATATTTATTTGTTTTTGTTCATTTATGATACGTGTAGTTTCTTTCCCACATGTCTCTCCGGCCTTCTCATTGACACAACTTTCAATATTGCAAGGCGTTGAAATGTGGAGCCAGTGTGGTCCTCTCCATCTGTCACTCTGATGAACAGTGGATCAATGGTGGTGGAGCCTTCGCATATAGATACAGCATGCATGGCAGCACTTCTCCCGGGCACTTCCCTTTATTTATTTATTCAAAATAGTCCATAGTTGCTCAATCAAAACGCCAACTCCGTTATCCCATCAATACCAAAGTTTAGGGTTCCTTACGCTTCTTAATTTATATGACGTCTGAATATGGAATTGTACAAAGAAAGCACTAGTCTCATATTTTCCACAGCTACGTGGTAACTATTTAATCATGCAAGTGAGGAGTGTTTTTGTGAAAACTCTGAAAAGAGAAGAGTAGATGGAGTGTGTTGCAGCATATATAATGACCGTAAGTTTCTATGCTCACGGCCTCAAACCACAGCAGCCCTTCAGCTTCGTATCAACCATACAGTACATTTGAATTTAATGGTCAAAGAAAGCAATACACCAAATATTCAAGACACAATTTAAGTGACAAAATTATTGTAATGCAAATTCAACAGTCTGTTTGTATGGCAAGCCGTGGGAACAACAGTAACTACTTGTAATGCCCAAAAAAATTATTGTATAAAGGCAAATCGGAGCCTCGGCTAATAATATTTTAGACATAAACTAATACCCTTTCCCTGAGGGAAGACATTGGTGTTGTCAATTCCATTTTGTACGAATCAATGATTATCACATCAACACAACAATTCTTTCTTTATTTCATTTTTTTTAAAAAAAGTTTCTGGGATATCCCTATAGTCACTAAAATCAATTTAGTTGATCTCTCGCTTGGAATTTTATCCATAAAACATGTAGTTGAGCATTATGGTCTCGAGTTTTTTCATCTTTACTTGCTCTGTAGATCATTTATGGAGGCTTGTAATTGTGGTTTTATATTCACAACTACTTTATAGATCATTTATCCATAAAAATTATATCTTGCTTGTGAGAAAGATAAAATATCTGCAACTTTTTTACGGTTCCTCTAATATAATAAAAATAGAATTTATAACATGGCCGAGGGGCCCTTAGGCTCAAATTATCTTGTGTCCCTGTTAACGTCTTAATTTCTTTTTTCAATTTTATTATTCCTCACAGTTAAACTCTAAGCTTGACGTCATAAAAACTAAAAGCCATGAAACTATAACTTAAAACAACCATTAAAAACTCCTAATTTAGAATCCTAAAATCACCGAACCCTAAGATTCTAAATCGATAACTTAAATTTAAAATCGAAAATGGTAAAATCAATTAAAATAAGTTTTATGATTGATTATATCACATAAGAGAATAATTGCCGTATAAAACGTGTTTTATAAAAGATAATTTTGATATTGACACCCTCATTTTATATGGCACAAGAAAATACTATTTTGTAAATAATATTTAAATAATGATATAATCATAAATAAATAAAATGAAAACGTAGTCACATTGACCTTACAGGCCAAATAGTGGGAATGGGTAAAAAGGCAAAGGTGAAAAGGAGACGTGGACCTGACCCAATCTGTCGGTCATGGCCTCGAACTCCTCGCCATTTCGAAAAGCGACACGCTATACGGAGCATCCTCCCCTCTTCGAAATTATCATCTATGATAAAGCTTGCTACTTTTTTTTTAGTATTTCCAATCTTAATTTTCACCTAAAATTATAATTAATTGTATATATATATATATATATATATATATCAATGCTGAAAAAGTGAGGGATATTGAATGTGTTTTTTCCATTGTGGGGGACCTCAATAACTCAACAACTCCTCTTACACGCTTATAGGCCCACTTTTTAAGTTTATGCCTTTTATATTCTTCTTCATCATTTTTTAGGGCAAACTACGTTTTAGGACTTCAATTATCACTTTTATTATGTTTACTCATCCAATTATTTTTTGTTTAAAAATTTATATCTAACGCTATGTTTTAGTTTCACTTTGGTTAACTGTAATTAAAAGATCAATGGAACTATTGACGCGGTTGTTTCTTTTAATGATGATATGACATTACCTTATAGTGATACGTCAGCATCACATTTAATTTTTATTAACAATGAGTGATCAAAATGAAATTAAAACATAATGTTATGTATGATTTAAGAGTAATTATGTTTAAATAAATTGGGACTAAACTTTTAGTTTAAACTTATGGAACAAAAATGATAGTTGGGTACTAAACTTGTTGTTTACCCTTTTTATGTTTTTAACATTGTATATTTAAGAGTAATTATGTTTAAAATAAATATTTAAATATTTTTTTCTTAATAATAATAAATTTAAGGGTAAATTATAGATTTAGTAATCTACCTATTCTCATTGTTCTGTTTCGATTATTCAAGTATTTCTTTTTCAAAATCATATATATTACATTTTGATTCTGTTTTAGTCGCTCTCAGTGAAAAATTTAACGATGATTATG